AAGTGTTTCAGTCTCTGTTATCAAGCAGAACTCTTCCCATCTGGTGATTCCCCAAACCAAGTCACCTTCCTTAAAAGCAGGATGCCTGGAATCCAGGACTTTAGATACTCCAAAACTACTCATGATCTTGCAAAGAATGCATAGAAAATGTGTTAGATAAAATAAATTACAAAAGTAAATAAACTTGGAGAATGATTTCTCCAATTTCTATTATTAATAGCCTACTAATTACTAGAAATCTATGGAAAAAAACCAAACAAAGATGCATAAAGACTTTGAAAATATCCACTTAGTTTCCAGCTCGTATAAGAAAATTAAAAACAGAGAATAGACAGACTTAGACTACTTTCCAAATACATATGTTGGCATATTTGGTACCCTTATGCTGTTAATTTAATGTATATGGTGCAAAAATATTGCTTTATCCAGTGAGTATACTATCCAGTCTCAAGACTCTCAATAAATCAAACGGAAATGCAAAAGAAAGAGCAGAAGTACATATTCCATTACTCCATATCCTAATAAACATCTTCACTTTAGCCACAGAACTTCCTAAAAGATAAAAACTTCAGCATTATGCTTATCATAATTCCAGTAGCCTATCAAAATCAGTTTAATAAATAGCGAACATACTTGAATTTCTATCGAAGCAGTATTTGATTCAATCAGCAATGATTAATGATTCTATCATTGATGCATCTCCAATTCAGTATAGCAATATAGATGGATATAGAATCTCCATGTCGCATGTATCTTCCTCTCCTCCTCTCATTTCTCTCGCCCGATCTGGAATAGTGCAAAGGTCGATATTCATTCTTCCTTTTTTCATCCCCTCTCCTCCCTTTACAAAGGGAACCATAGGAATGTATCATTATGTTCTGAATTGCATCCTTAAGTCTGATCAGCTATATTCAATCCCAGCATCTACCTGAATCTATCTAGTATGACATAGATAGATATCTATGTGATACCAGCCTGCTTAGCTCAGGGGTTAGATTATATCAGATTGACTAAGTTGATCACATTTATAATCTGCAATTCTAAGTAAAACAAATGACAATTTTAAAATAGCCCCAAAATCTATCATCGTCATTACCCATACTGAGAAAATGCTACACCACTCCACGAAAGCACACAAGAATTTCAAAATGGGCTGTTAGTTATATGTTATATATTTGGATTGTCTACAAAGAGACCAGTTATCTTGATCATAGCCATTAACTACAATATGCAGTTAACTCGATCTGGCTTTCAAATGATAAACATTGTAATGGGTAGAACTTTTGGAGAAAACTTTTCAATGTTGTGTAGATTTTTATTTGTATTTGTTGCTTTATTATTTTGTAGATAAGTTTCTTATGTTGCAAGTTTTTCCTTTCATAAGATTTAGTGAGAAGAATGGAAATACTCCACAGTTGAGACACTACAAATCATCTAAAATAGTTGACCTTCTAGCTACCATTAAAATTCAGCTGCAGAGTACCAAAACTTTTAGATTTTTCTGACATCACCTAAAATAATCTCCAATAAATTGACTTTACAAAGATCATTCATAACTAAGAGAGAAAGGAGCAACAATATTATAAAAACAAAGTGCAATCACGTCAATCAAATCCACGAGCGCTCAAAACCAGTGATTTAAAAATTGCCGAGACAGTACAAACTCGGGCGAGTCGACACAGGAATTGGTCACCTCGTGTCGATTCCAATCAATTTCGCAAGTATCGCCCGGTTCTAGGGAAGAACCGGCAAGTCTCCATAGTGAACTGCCCGAGTGACATCACGACTCAGTTTTTAAGTTCTAGAGAAGAACCGGCAAGTCTCCACAGTGAACCGCCCCAGTGAACCGCCCGAGTGACATCACGACTCGGTGTTTTTAATTGGTTAAATCTACAATTTCAAGGTAATTGGAATATTTTTTTTTTTGCGGGGACTCTATCTGATGTCACCACATCTGACCATCACGAGACCCCATGCCCCATTCAATCGTTATTAATGTGCTGGTCCTCAAGTCTTTTATACATGTTAATTTTCCTTGAAGTTTTCGATGTGGGACAATTCCCACTGTAATAGCTTGAAAAGGTAATATAGCCATTTATTATGAAAGTTAATACACAAAGTGGCGTTGTGGTGTAGTGGTTATCATGTCCCTCTTACATGCTTACATGCATTCTTTTTTGTTAAAAAGTAAATAAAACGTACAATCTTTTTATTTTTCTTGTCAAAAAAAATTTCTTTTCGTCAAAAAATAAAATAAAATGCATCATCTTCTTATGTTTCTTGTAAAAAACAAATTCTTTTTGTCAAAAAGTAAATAAAACATACCATCTTCTTATTTTTCTTGTCAAAAACAAATTCTTTTTGTCAAAAAATAAAATAAAAGGTACCATCTTCTTATTTTTCTTGTAAAAAACAAATTCTTTTTTGTCAAAAAATAAAATAAAAGGTACGATTTCTTATTTTTCTTATAAAAAACAAATTCTTTTTTGTCAAAAAAATAAAAACCTGGGCAGCATTCTTTTTGTTAAAAAATAAATAAAACGTACCATCTTATTTTTCTTGTCAAAAACAAATTCTTTTTGTCAAAAAATAAAATAAAAGGTACCATCTTCTTATTTTTCTTGTAAAAAAAAAATTCATTTTTGTCAAAAATAAATAAAATGTACCATCTTCTTATTTTTGTTGTCAAAAACAAATTCTTTTTGTCAAAAAATAAAATAAAAGGTACCACCTTTTATTTTTCTTGTAAAAACAAATTCTTTTTTGTCAAAAAAATAAAAACCTGGGCAGCCTTTCTTTTTGTTAAAAAATAAATAAAACGAACGATGTTCTTATTTTTCTTGTCAAAAACAAATTCTTTTTGTCAAAAAATAAATGAAAGGTACCATCTTCTTATTTTTCTTCTAAAAAACAAATTCTTTTTTGTCAAAAAAAATAAAATAAAAGGTACCTAGGCAACACTATGTTTTTATTTTTCTTGTAAAAAAAAAAAAAGGGTAATACAACAAGCATTTCTTGTCAAAAAATAAATAAAAGGTAATACAACAAGTATCATGTTTTCAAGCACGCATTGAGCTGTGATTATCGTAAGCTTAAATTGGATAGGTAAAGGTAATACAATATAGGCTTGAGGCATGTTAGCTGTTTTTTTTTTCTCATATATGAATGCCTATTGTTAGATTTTTTTTTTTTACTTAGGAATAAATAGTCTAATTATATTTTTTATTTTTATAACATGGTGGTCTTTAACATAAATTTAAGACTATTAATTTGAAGATAGGGTTCATACAATGAGGCTATTTGAAATCTCTCTCTACTAACAATCTCTTCCACTGAATTTATTCTAGAAACCTTAAAAACTAGATTTTTGAAAAAAAAAAATGGCATTATAAATTATGTAATGTACTATTTTTTCGTAGAGTTGTCAATAATATATTTTAAATTAGATGATATCATAAGATATTTTGGATTTGTTATTATTTGTATAGTAAAACAATTATAAAATGTAAACCAACAATTTTAATTTAAATATATAATATTATAGTTATAGGCTATAATAAGTTTGGATTATAATTAGTTAGGTTGTAATAATTTGGTTTTTTTAGTGGATTAGGGTTTCTGTCGATTCAAGATTTTAGGGGCCATTTTTTTATCGATTTAATTCATTCTTTATTGTAGTCCATGATGATATACTTCATCCATAATAATTTTATGCTTATCATTTTGTGTGATGTAATTTAATGGTTATCAATAGTTTGTGCAGGTAAAGAACATTTCAATATTTGTATATTGATGAAAAAAATGAAAGTTCTAATAGTGGCTCATTTTTTATTGGATTATTAAAAAACATCATTCATAATGAATTTTAATAATTTTTTTGGATTTTTTTAAGGCTAAATCCGACCAATTCGACCTATTCCCGATCTCCTGATCCCCCGATTCACTGATCCGGATGGGTTTTTGGGGTGCTCGATCCGGAGCTCCGATCCTTTTTTTAAAACCACTGCTCAAAACCCCCAACATATCACCCAAAGAACAGGATCGTTCTTGGGCAATTCACAATCCAGATGGGTTTCAAAATGGCAATTAAAACAGAGGAAATCAAGCAAGAAACTAGCACATAAAACAATAAAAAAACTAAACAAAAGCCAGCTTCACTGTAATTGATTAAAACAGACAATTGCTAATGAGATCAACGCACACGATAACAAAATAAAAATAAAAATAAAAATCGAATCGGAAGCGATGAAAGCAGAGGAAATAGTTAAGTAGATGGCACTTACAGAGCCAGGCTTGGAATCAGAGGAATAGCTTGGGGTTTTCGGTTTCGACATGCTAAACCTCAGGTAAGGGTCACAAGAGAGGTAGAGATTCTTCACCAAAACTCCCCTAGACCCTTCTGGTACCTTCAGTTTCAGAGAGCTTGGCACCATTTCGAAGTCCGTCTCTTTCGGAGAACCAGTCACATAGTTTTTCAATATGATCTGCATGTTCTTCACCGCCTCTCCTAGCGCCATTCTCTGAGAGCAAAAAGAACGAACACTTTTGATCCCTATCTCTCTCTACCAGAGAAAACACTTATATGGGCTTGTGTTTCTCTCTCTAAAGAGCAATACCCAGGTTCTCAGAGCCTTATCTCTTTCTGCAAATGACAGCGGCGATTCTTCTCCCTCTCTCCTCTCTCCATTTTTAAATACACCTCGAGTTCTTCACTCCTCCCCTCCCTCCCTCTCTCTCTCTAAAACCACTCTCTCTATTCCTCCATTTTTTTATTTTCTATTCTTCGGCCTCCATACTTGCATTATTGTCACCTTGTCAACTTGCATCACGTGCCCACGGATATCCCTTGAGAAATACTGTCCATTAATGGAGCTGAGGCCGACAAATGGAGACCCTGCCCTTATATTTTATCTAAAAGATAAGGTGAGGTTTGAATGTTGCAACTTTAAACGATTAAAATAATGTGCACATCCAAACTTTATTAAATTTAGTGTTGTCGAAATTTTCAGATGGAAAAAGTTTATACGGAGGCTCTAAGCAATCAAATATGAGCCTATCTGGAAATTTTTACTAAAAAAAAATATATTTTAAGTTTTAAAAATAGTATATTTTGTAACACATTTTTAGACTGTTAATTTTTAAAATTTTCAAGTTTTCATAGATCTACCGATTTACATTATTTTTTAAACTTTTAATTTTATAAATAAATATAAAAATATATTTCAAAGCTATAATAAAGATTTTCATTTCTCGACACTATTTAAAAGTAGGCTCTAATTTGATTGTTTAGAGTCTAGGCTCTATACAAATCACACCGAATGATCTTAAAATCTATTTTTATCTTTAATTATAAAATTTTAATATCTAAAAATAAATTAAAATAAAGTAGATTTATAAATTTATGAAAATCTTGAAAATAGATGGTCTAGATAATGTGTTGCAAGATGTACTTTTGAATTTTGAAATCATGTTTTTAACATCTTGATGTCGAGATGATCAATTAGATAGTTTTTTAACGTCACAATAGTCTTTTCCGATGATATTTTAGGTGCATCTTAATTCTATAATTTAAGGTGCCGAATTTATCTATGGGAAATTATGGCATAGGCCCATTAATACACAGCTACGAGGCTTAAATCTAGGCCGAACTGGCAATCACGACTTCATTTTATATTTAATTTTTAATTTCTTTTTACAAATACAAATAAATGAAATTTTAAGTTTCTATTTTTCTCATTAGGTGCACCAAATAAAAGTATTAAAAAATAATTCATAAAATATAAATTAACTAAAATACTTCTCAAAAGTTTTGGAGTATTTTGGTCTATTTATTTTTTTTATAAATTTTGTTTTGATATTTTTATTAGATTTTTCTGTTTTTAGATAACCCGCCTCTAAATTTTTAAGTGATTTGGATATTATAAAAAATATTAAAATTAAAATATAAAATACAACTGTGATGGTCGGACTGACTCTCAGTTTGGCCGTATACTAACCTTTCCCTTTACTGAAGGTGGATACATGTAAAAAAATAAAAAAAAAAACCCTACTTTATAAAAACAGTGCAGAGCAAGTGACCTCCAAAAGTGAAAAAGTTTTTAAATGGGCATGACCTTTCGGAGAGGAGAGAGATAGTGAGACAGAGATGCGATCTTGGAGGGGCAAAGGGGGGAGAGAGAGGGCGTTATCATTGGGGTAGGGATCTATTTTCATGGGAATTGTTATCTTCTCCCGTAATTTATGGATACAATTTACCAAAGGCTTTTCTTTTGTTCTTTAAAAGGTCTAAGATCTATCGATCTTAGATTTTTTAAAATGTGGACTTTTCTATTTTTTTGGTTTCAAGAAAACTCCTTGATTCAACTCCATAAATTTCGAATTCATAATTTTCTCTTCAATATTAAATCGTTCTCTCTCTACATTACATGCTCATCTCTCTCATCCTTTTGAGGACTCCTATTTTTTGCTTTCCAAAAAACTCCATAGCCAATAATCTAATGCGTGAAATTCTAATTGATAGTTTTCTCTCCCTTAAATCTGAATGTGAAATCATTCTCTCTCCAAATTGATTGCTTTCACTTTCTCTCATCCATACAGCTGTCCAGTATTTATTGGGAAAAGTTCATATAGAACCGAGGCTCTAAACAATTAAATTACAGCCTATCTCAAAATTTTCACTAGAAAAGATTGTTGTGATGCTCAAATAACATCACGAAGCATAGGCATGAGAAAAAAATGGATTTCAAGTTTTGGAAACAGTGTATTTTGTAACGCACATTTGGAGCGTCAAGATTTCCAATTTTTCATAGATCTGTCGATTTGCATTATTTTTTAAGCTTTAAATTTTATAAATAAACATAAAAATATATTTTAAGGCTATCACAAAAATTTCCAATATTGAAACACATTTCTCGATACTATTTGAAGGTAGGCTCTAATTTGATAGTTTAGAGCGTAGGCCCTATACAAACCGCACCCTATTTATTATATGGGATTGTATACAATGAGACCATTTACTTTTGGTATAGGGAGTTCAGTATAATTTACAACTATCCCATGTGAAATATGATAGCACGGGTGTGTCACAAAGTTTGAGAAAATTTCTTTTGAACTTTAAACTTAGTCAATGAAATAAATGTAACCACCCAATTTCACATCCAATGGTCAAGATTAATTGTGACCACATTGTACTCAAGGTAAATGGCCTCATTGTATACTTTCTCTATATTTTATATATTATTTTATATATTATATATGATATCATAAATATATATATTTATATATTATATATAATCTATAATCTATATATACTATATAATACAAATTACATTAATAAAATAAATATAAATATATAATATAATAAATTATGTTGTAGATAGTTAATAATGAATAGTGACAAAATGTTTGTTCCTATCCCTTTTTAGGAACTTAAACTTTTATGTTTTAACAAAGAAATGGAAACTTTGTTGAAAGATATCTTTTAGAAAGAAATAAAAGTTCTTGCTTGTCAAACACATAACTTTTATCAAATTGGAGAAAAAAATCTTTCAACCAAACAAACACGCCTTAAGACATTGTCTACAAAGATATCATTTGTCTTTTGTACATGGAAGTCACAATTATTCTTGTCCCTTAAATTTCAAAATAGAAGGTTGTAAGAGTAACATATAATAGATACGAAGTTCTACAAAACAAATTCCCGGTCCTGACTCATCCGAAGTCATCTATTTTGACATTTAATGAATGGGAATGATTTGTGACCTCTATGTAAAAAAGATAAATGACCTATTTGTAGACAATCCCTCTCTTTAAACAATGTACATAACAACCAACAACAATCACACACCATCATCATCATAGTCTTAACAATCACACACATAAATACCATAATACTGAAACATAAAACACCATAGAAATCCACTCAGAGAACAATAACTCAATCCTTCATATGAAGAGCCCTCTGCATGAAGAGCCAAGAACTTAGTACTTTGCTGGTTAAGAGCATGTAACAACATGCATCGTTCACATTGTTCAAAATAAATAAAAAAAAATCATTTACGAGCAAGCAAAGCCACTTGTTTCTCGACATTTAAACACGAGAAGACTTCAATAAGGGCATACGGCGCATTCTCGAGGCCTTCCACATTCCTCCACACCAGTCAAGAACATGTAGCATACATGCATCATTCATGACATTCGAAAATAAGAAAAAAAAAAAATATTATTCATGAGCAAGTAGAACCACTTGTTTACCAACATTTCGACCCGAGAAGAGTCCAATAAGGGACGTGGGTGCGTTCTCGAGGCCTTCAACAATATCTTCCACATAACATATCTTCCCCTCCCTAATGCTCTTAGTTGTTGTCTCCAGAAACTGCAGGTATAAGTGCTTATGATCATATACTAAGAATCCTTCCATGCGAATTTGCTTTGTTACCAAGGAAAAGAGGTTGGGTGCCCCCTCTGGTTTATCTCTATTATATTGTGAGATCATTCCACATATAGAGATTCGGCCATGGTCTCTCATGTTTAAGAGCACTGCATCAAGCATGGGGCCACCTACATTCTCAAAGTAGATGTCTATGCCTTTTGGAAAGTACCTAATACATGAAAGTATAACACCATATTTGAGAGAGAGAGCCACTTATATTACTAGAGTAGATGTGAAAGCCTTTTGGTTGTTGGAAATTGATTGCGTGATAAAGGGGGCAAAAATTAATAACAAACTAATCAAAGTCCATTATTGTTTGTGGGCACACATAGTGCTTTTTCAAGACGATATTTGTCCCCCTTTCAGATCAGTATAGGTGTGCATATGAAGGACAATTCGTCCTCGGGATATAGCAAAACAAAAATGTCTTTTTTGATGTTTCAAAGCTCTATGCACCTGAGACTAGAGTCTTACGTTTTCAGAGAGAGAGAGAGAGAGAGAGAGAGAGAGAAAGAAAGAAGAGAGAGGAGGAGAGGAGGTAGTAGTCGTCTTACTTTACTTAGTAAAGTAAGTCGAGTAGTAGACGTAGTGGTGTAGGTAGGGTAGGGTCGTACGTACGGTCCGGACCGACCGACCTAC